TTTCCCTCCTTCTTCCCTAAACAAAGCACAGAGCCAGAATGCACACAGAATTTGATCCCAGTCTCACTTAATCCCCAGACAACAGCATTACAATTGCCAGACTTACTCCAGATTTCTATTGATGGAATTGGAACTGGACCCTAGATTTTCTTCAGAGTACTATTAATGTTTTACATCTTAAGTACCATCTCTAAAGTCCCTAAATATGCCTTCTCTGTCCCAAGCTTAACCCCAAATCTGTGAAATGAACTATATGGTCTTGGATAATTCACCAGCTGCATGGATTTACTTCTTCCACGTTTGTAGCACCAAAATGAGGGCCAAGCATTCACTGTACCTCCCAGTCCAGAACAGAGGCCTGCCACTGAGCTATCTTGTCAATGTTCTCCAGCCTCCGCTTCCGCTCGTTGATCTGCAGAGTCACGTTCCTCATGACGGCGAGAGCAGCAGCCACATACCTGTAGTCACTGTCAAACACAAAAGGGAAGTCCATGAAATCCCACACTGACGTGCAGTGGAAGTGCACGTGAGCCTGGCGTTAGCAGCAGCACAGCCTCACCATCCTTTTAGAAAGGAATGCAGGTAGGATTTGCCTCTCATTGCTATGATACTGGACTTTTTCCACCAACAGTGTCTTTCTGGACCACCGCAAAGAGCAGCTTGAAACTGCAGTTGGGTGTGTAGGAGACAGAGAAATCAGCCCCTCAGCTGGTTTGCCTCCTTCAGTGAGCACAGTTGAGCCTCTACAACCCAATGTATGACAGTTACAAATACTGCTCTCTCAAGTCTTCAGATCCCCAGCTAAAGAGCATCCTAAAGGAAAGTCTGGACATTCTCATAGCCTCTGCCTTTGCACCTGGATTCTTCCTCTTTAAATTGAACATTAGAAACTACTTTTCAATCAGACTCAAGGCCAGAGCACCGTCCAAGCCACAAGGAGACTCCAAGTGTGCCACAGGGCATTTATCCCACAGCCTTCAGGCTTAGTGCAGACTTCAGGGGAGCAAATCAAAGCAGTTCTTTCTTTTCCATTCCTGGATGGGCCTGTGAGTGTAATTACAGAGAGTGAAACCAGGCTCCTGCCAGGCCAGCAAAGATGATGATCAGTCTTTTCAAAAAGTGATGCTGAAATCAATGCTATTGATTTCCACCCTGTGCCTTCTTTTCCATTCCAAGGAACCTTAATGTTCACTTCAATTGGAAAGACAGATAAGGCCAGCTGCCATAATGCCACCATAATATATTATTAACTTAAGGGTTGATATTGATTGCTGACTAATGAGAAAAGCTGCCATCCTGGGCAGCTGCAGGGGGAATGGCTTTATTGATTATTGCTAAGAATTGCACTGGTGACAGCTCAAACAGGGGTGAGTGCTGTCAATTACATCCCTTTCCTCATGTGAATCAAACAGGATAAATATTAAGGAACAATCACAAGATGATGTACAACAGAGTATGATTTGCTATTTTGCTGTCCTTTCTGGAGATGCATTTTCAATTTTTGTTCAATTCTTACATCAAAATTCCAGCTGAGCTTAAAAAAACCTCCTACAAATTCCAGAACATCAGGACTGGTCCTTCAGTAGAGTAAAGGAGAACAGAGGATGGGCTGGCTGACATAGCCATCATGATACACAATGAAGAATTTCTTGTGCCTTTCTTTGTGGGGCCACCTGTATGAAGTGAGTGCCTGGTTGTGTAACAGGGAAATGGAGCTATGCCAGAGACATTAGTCTGGTCTTCAAAATGTCTGTGAGCTCTTGCAGGGAAACAGGTAAGCCATTATGGTCAGAAAGGATCTGTAGAGGTAGGGAGGGGTGTAGGACTTAAAGACAGTCGCTGATTATCTCCTAGCAATTTTACTCATGCAGAGAAGGGAGGCTAATGCCAGTCCACCCATTAGCAGCATCTCCACCTTGTCACTCGTGTTCACGCAAACC